TAACAGTCGAATGGCTTTCCGTCTAAAAGAACGCAAAAAATATGAGAACTTACTATGTTAAGGATGGTGGGTACAGTTGTCAGCGCGCACTTTTACTGCGCACATTACGTAATCCACAGGAACTCCAATGTTTTCAAAAATATAAACAACAAAGCGAAATAAATGCGTGATCATTGTTGTAATCTTTTTTCTTTAAAAAAATAGCAATTTTTTCATGGGTGTCTGTATGGGATAGTTTAATTGTACTATGAAAATGAAAATGAATGTTGTGAAAAGGAGAAAACGACGACAAGATGGTAGATTTGTCAGAAATAGAGTACCGGTGAAGACAAAAATTAGACGAAAAAGATCACAAGCGGCGGAGAAACCTGAAAAAACACAAAATAGTAATTGAAGGAAGGAGAATTATTGAGTTAGATTACCTGATGGAGTAGTTAGAAAGAGGGTTTAGTGAATGTAAAGAGGCACTTAAACTTCATAAATTGATCGACGAAAAAAAGTTTGGACTTGGTAGTTTGTTTTACATTCAATGCGAATACGAGGTTTTGAACTCCGTTTGCTCGGGAAAAACTCACTTAGTTTCTTCTATGAAAATCTTGAGTCTTTATTCAATTCTCAGTTATCCCTACAAGGTTTTCTTATTGCATTCTCTAGAACAATTTAGTGACCGTTTTCTTCCAGTAGTTCTTGCAGTAGTCCGCCATGTTTACCATCCCATAATGCAATGCTCAACCACGTCTCTCAGGGGAGGGGTGGAGGAAATTTGTAACCATCGCTGGAAAAAAGCTTGAAATCTGATATTCAAAAAATCATAACTCCAAAAACGCATGGCGACCCCAGTTTTTAATTTGCTTGGTATGTTTTGTAAACACTTAAGATAATTTTGAATGTACTATTTCAAAAATAAAAATAATTCTGAGTAGTTTCTTTTTTGATTTTGTGTTTTTGTCCAAAATTGAAATTTTACCTACTTTTGTGCAAAAGCAGAAAAAAAATGTACTTTCACCTTTGCAACTTCAAATCTTTTTATCAATATGAAAAATATTCATGTTTAAGATTATTTTAGACAATATTTCGATGTACTTAAGCCAAATACAAGGGATATGTGATTTTTTGAAGTGCTTCGAAATGCGCTCACGTCATCGGGTCTTTAATGACAATTATCTCGCTTGGATGCGTGGGGACCTCCCAATTTTTTCACATTTTTAGATAGCCCCTTGGGTACTCTAAATAACTGACACAGTTTCATTCAAATAAAAATGGGTCGCGAACTGTACCCACCATCCTTAATAACAGTCGAATGGCTTTCCGTCTAAAAGAACGCAAAAAATATGAGAACTTACAATGTTAATAACAGTCGAATGGCTTTCCGTCTAAAAGAACGCACAAATTATGAGAACTTCCTATGTTAGTAACAGTCGAATAGCTTTCCGTTTAAAAGAACGCACAAATTATGAGAAATACTGCGTAACTCATAATTACACAGCTATATAAGATGTTTAGCCGAATATATTCAATGCAAATAGTGTGTATCTGTTGACTGATAGCATTGCTTTATTGTATTGTTTATCGTTTTTTTAGGGGACCGTGTGATCTTTGCCGAGTCACCATCAGCACCTGGTGTTCCTGTAGTGTATAGATTGCCTGATGAAAGACAAGCTAACCCTGATAGACTTAACTTAGACAGGTATGTTATAACACGACAAGTGTTTACGAAGTTTAAAAAAGAAGTCGTAACGACCTCGTGGCGCATGGGAGTATGGGTTTGACGCGCGTGACGACAGAGCGTTATAATGTCGTCCAGATTGCCTTGAACCACGAGGTCATTACAAGTCAAAGGAAGAGTCATGACGAACTCGTGGCGCATAGGATTGTGGGATTGATTGGGGTGATGTCGAAGTCTTCTAAGATTGACGCGGGTGATGTTGAAGTCATCTAAGATTGAAGCAATTGCTGTTTTCTTTTTCCAGACGACGTCTAACAGTTTGTCCACTTCTAGAAGGAGAAGAGAATTTACGACTTCTAAACTTTCAGCACAATCTCATCACAAAAATTCAACATTTATCAAACCTAAGAAGACTGATCTTCTTGGACATCTACGATAATCAGATAGAAGAGATCGCAGGACTGAGTTGCTTGAAGTCTTTACGAGTACTGATGCTTGGCAAAAATAGAATACGAAGGATTCATAATCTAGAAACTTTGACCAAGCTAGACGTTCTTGATCTACACGGAAATAGAGTAAGTAATAGTTGTATAAGATGAAATCCAGTTCAAACGTTTATAGTTCATAGATTTTTAGCCAATCAGAGTGCGCGTTAAACTTGCACTTCGCTACACAATTCTGCATATTTATCATAATTGTTTTTTTATTCACTGTTTTTGTTATATTTGTTTATAGATTAGTAAAATCGAGAATTTGAATCATTTGAGTGAACTCCGAGTATTGAATCTCGCCGGGAATGAGATTCAACATGTGTCGAATATCAGTGGAATGACGGCGTTAGCAGAGCTTAACCTGCGCAGAAATCAAATATGCACTGTGGTAAGGCACTGTTCGTATATACCTATTTAAAAAAGGTTGTCCGAGCCAAAGGCGATAAGCAATAGCAGATAATCAAAAGGAGATTGTTCGAGGGTCATGAACAGCCATGCCTCGTGTTTTGTCTTTTTTATTATTCTCCTCAAGAACACGGAGGATAGTGTTGACATATACCCAGTGTTGTTTGTAGTCGACGTAACAATTTTAAACACCTGGATTATTAGTGTTTAGGCGTATACACATAATTCCTTTCCATCTTGGAATGACCTTTTACCTATCTCCTTTGGGTTTGATCACTTTTTTTGAATTAGTTGTTATACTACACATACTTAGCACTCACGACAGTTGATGTGATAGGACGTTCATTAGAAGGTGGGGGGCGGTACAATAATTTGGGTATTTTAGTATATGAATACTTCAAGGAGAAGGATCAAGAAGGGCAGGACGTTAGGGAAAGTTGAAAAAGGTGTACTTTAATTTATACCAGACCCTTCTTTTTTTTTTTCTTTTTTCTTTTAATCTCTCCAGACCTTTCTTATAAAATCTCTCTTGTCTAATACTTCCATAACTTCGATTGCCTAGTTATTGATCTGACCTTGCACAGTGTGCTGACACAGGAAACCCAAACTCTAGTTTAGCTAAGTAACAGTCGGATCTTATCATAAGTCCAACTATTACTTAGTCAAGCTAGAAAAGATGTCCGCGCAGATTTATATTTATACCCGTTGTGAAAAATCAAGTATGGTAGAATTTATTGGTATCATAAGTGGTAAGTAAAAGCCTAGGATGCCGTCCTTGGGCGTCCTGTGGTATGACGTCAAGACAGTAAGAGAGTTTCTGATTTAAGATTTTTTTACAGGAGGAAGTAAATAGATTGGAAAATCTTCAACGACTTTTTCTAAGTTTTAACTGTATAACAAGGTAGGCGTCGTTCTTTCAACTATGGTGGTTGATGGTGGTGGGTTTAGAGGTGATGATTAATAATGATGATGGTGGTGGTAGTGACAACGATGATGGTGATGGTGGTAGTGACGACGATGATGGTGATGATGATGCATGATGGTGATGATGGAGGTATTGACGATGATGATAAAGATGGTGATGCATGATGGTGATGATGGAGGTATTGACGATGATGATAAAGA